TACCTCCAAATTAAATATGTACCGAATATAGTACCATATACTACTTTTCGTATACATTAGTACACGCTTACAAACCCAGCTCCTTATGTCGACCCTGTTCTCAATCATAATTTGCATTACAAATTTCTAGTTTTTAGCTCTATGAAATTGTACTAAATTGAGTAGATTTTAGTACTGTTCGCATACTTATAGTTCAAATGTCCAAAAAACCCCTTTGCTATATCTATTCTACACTCCATCGGTGACCCTCATTTAAAATTTAAGAGTTCTAGAAATGGTAGAAATGGTATCACATTTAGTACTTTTCGTACCGTTCTAGTACGAATTTCTTAAAACCCAGCCTTATCTGTCACCTTTGGACCCAAGAATGACCCTCACCCAAAATATCAAGATTCTATCTTCAGCCGTTTCGTATTTATTAGTGGGAAATGTATTTCTTTATTTTAAAAAATACTTTTTTACAAATTGTTAAAAGGAAATAATAATTGCAAGTTCGCAGTTTTTACAATATTTTCCGGAAATACCGATCGTATATATTATAAAAAAAATTTACGTCAATCGAAACAAGCCCCCATCATATCAATTAATTGATTGATTAAAATTTAACTATTATATGTATAAAGTGGTGTATGTAGTAGTGTGTAAATTTGTGTATTAATCATATGCATGATGTTGTATGTCACCGAACACATGTAATATACAAAAACAAAATAATAAAGGTATGAACAACTATGTCGGTCGGACGACATCTGTTGGGTCTCTTTAATTGTTTCAATCAAAAAATGGACATCAGTGGACACTGATTTGATAATTCAATTCAGACCATATTGCCTACTGACTCGAGACTTTTTGGTATCGATGATGATGATGCTTTTGCAATGGTTCAATTTTAATTAATAATAAAAATAATAAGTATTCTAAAAATATGTTATTTTAATTAACATAGTCCGAAAATTCCGTTTCGACTTTTTGTAAATTGGCTCAGAATGTTTCCAATATAGAGTGTAGAGTTCTTTTACATCAAAACTGGCATAAAAGAGATAAGGCCCGGTTGCAGATCGCTTTGAAATATTTACCATCCTAGTGCTTCTAGGCGTCCAGTTTGTAACGGTATCAAAGTTTCGTTGTGACCTTTGAATGTCTCATTCTGTTTTTAATCAATTAAGTGTTCGATTATGCATAAATCCCTAAACCAAGCACTGCCAAAGGTTGGTACTTTTTTAATAGTGATTGTATCTCGTATTTGATTTTATCATCTGTCCGTAGAGGAAATGCTAGTTTACCGGTAAATTTTTCAAAATGATCCGTAACTGGGCCCTGTTCGGAAACAAATATTAGCATTACTGCAATAAAAATTGGTAGATTAGAACATGATATCGAAGAAAAACTGAAATTAAATTACATCTTGAATATGTTTCTAAAAAAGATATTCAAAGTTGCATACCTCAAATATCCTGTAGCAGATGTCCCAACTTTTCTACCACCTGAGTCTAAATATTTACCTTATTTTAAGACCCTTTGCATGGATTTCTTGTTTTTCATTTTAATCCTTAACTGTGGTCCACTTAGCCTAGTATCTTCGTTATATAGTATTTGAATGATTTTTGTTTATAAAAATTAACATTTTCATTTTTTATTTTGTTCTTTTTTTAGGTTTTACAAGACGGTCTTCAAGTAGTCCCAACCAACGTCAAAAAGCCACGAATATGCCGACTACAATAATTGGTATATATAAATAAAATAAATTATTAAAACACTTGCCACTTTTTAATTATTTTATTAATGATTTCTTTAAAAACACACAAACTTCTTGCAAAAAATCACTGTATACGGCCTCTTCTGTGTAACAGACATAAACAAAACATGAATGTTTTTGTTTTGATTGCACGTGAAGAACAGCTGATCAGCTGAGAGCACTGAACAAAGCGTATGATTTAAATGAGAGCGTAGACGACACCTATTGATGCCGTTATTAGAATGTCATAAAATAATGTAAATTAATTTTAATTTAATTGAATAATATAAGCATATATTAAATATTATTTATTATTTATTAAGTAGTATTTCGAATTGTTGAAATGAGTGGGAAAATAAAAGCAAAGCAAATAATTAAACAGTGAACTGGCAAAGTGATGATGTTGTCATACGACTTGAGAGAGAGGGGCTATCATCTCACGGTGAATATCTACGCAGAAGACGAGGAGGAAGAAAAAGCAATGTAAACAAAAACTCACTTGTTACCGGCTGCCACGGCCAAAGACATAAAAGTATAAAGATAGGACAATTGAATTTCCAAGTTGGCCGTTAGATGGCTTTTGCTCTGTTGTTACGATATCGTAACAACATTTTCTGTTAATTACAAAGAGAACTACATTTTTTACTCTCTGAAATGCAATGGAATAATGACAGAAAAAACCAAGAGAGTTTAAAAACAATTTATATGGCTGGCAACATTCTGCAAATATATATGATGTGTTCCACAATGTGCAAGGCGAATTTTTGTCGCTGCTACAGAAATGTATAAATATACAATAAAAACAGAGTATGTACATATGATATATAATTATTATTATATATAACCAAAAATAACATAGTATTTTAGGTTTTTTAGTAATTTAAAGAGTTTCTCCTACGCCATAGAATCGTTTAAAAACGACAACTTATTGAACTTTGTATACACATGTGGTGTTGTGTGATTATTGTGAACCCCCGAAAAAAAGAAAATCGGTTCAGATTTAAGATTTAAGGTAAATGGGGCACCAAAGTCCCTTCATATATTTCGATTTGCACGAAATTTGGCAATTAGGTCCAGAATGATATGTGCTAAGTTTCGAGAAAATCGATTCAGATTTAATATAGCTCTCATATATAGTTTTGTCAGATTTTATGTAAAAGGTGCACCAAAGCCACCCATTCTTGGTGTCATATTTTTTTTTTTATTCCGATCTACTCTTGAAGATATAGCCGATTGATTGAGTCAGCATCAAGTGACGGTGATTCTTAAACACATTTCTCGAAGCAGCGTTTCGCGAATGGCGGGCACGACAACTCATAAACTAATAATCCAATCGGTTTGTTAGTACCCAATTATTAATAATAAAACATTTTTTATAATTTTGTTGTTGTTTAATTAATTATTTATTGCCATAATTTATTTATTGCCATAAACTTAATAATTTTGTTTTTTTTTTATTTTTTTGGGAAGATTTTTTTTTGAGGCGGAAATAAAAATTTTGAAGTGACGGAGGATATTTTAGTCATAAGTAAAAAAATATATTGAAAACCAGTGAGCCGAGCAGTATAGTCGAACGGGGCCGACCAAATGATACCCTGCACAGCTTCAACGAAAATTTGACTTCCTGTAGTTCTATATTCTGAGCTTGAGCAATATTTCGCAATATTTGCACCCTCTTGACCGACTAGAGGTAAACAAATATTAAAAATATTCAGTACAACCCTTCTAAGTGCTTGTCCAGATTCCCTTCACCGTGGGTTGTGCTGTGCTATTCGGCCTGTGGCCTATAAATCGACTCGTAAAAACACAACAAAATAAGTTTTTGGTCCACTTCAGCCCAAAATTATTATCTGATCATCACCGAAAATTATAGGCGTTGTCCTTGACCATAACTGCAACCTCATGGAACATTTCAAAGCGATCACCGTGTGGTAATGGTTTACTAAATTATATTTGAATAACCTAAACACCTCTTAATACTTAAGTGTAACTCCCGCAGACGAGTACATACGACAATATTGGTATTGGTATCAATTTAAAGGTCAACCACTCTATTCCGTATAGAACAAACATTTTTAATTTTTCACACAAAAGTCAGGGTCCATTTGACCCGCTAAATATTGACCGATTTTTATTTAAAACTGGCATGTTTATTCTTTGCCCTGATCCCATTCTCCGTGTAAAAATTCGCAATGTTGGGGTCAGAATTGCGGCCTCTGGAGCGACCAGAAAACCGACAAAAATAAAGTATTTGGTCCATTTCATCCCCTTAATATCAACTGATCTTTACCAAAAACCATAGGGATCTTCATTGGCCAGAAGAACAAATAATAATGGACAGACGGACGGCCACACATGTCTAGATCGAACCAGCTAGTCGAGATATGACGATCGGTATACTTAACGGTGGGTCTGGACCAACACGTCGCGGCGTTACAAACTCTTGGGGCTGCACAGAGCTATAATACCCTGACACACCCTAAAAGCATTGTTGTTTTAGTATTCATGGGCCATTATTTGAATCCGCATCGTGATCTTCAGGCATCCACATCAATAAACATATTGCAAACAAATTAAAAATTTATAAAATTTGGAAAAGTTTCTCCAGTTCAACCATTAGAGACCAATCAGCCTTAATCAAATCATCACGGATGTAATCCTTGCAAGCATCGAGACCTTGGCCAACTTATCATCAGCTTCAAAATGACGGCTAAACATTTTTGGTGATTCACCGGGTATGGGTTCAATTTTAACCCAAATATTTTTGATTCGATTGAGGTGACAATGCCAATATCGACAAACTCCTTGCTCGGCACACAAATCGGTGTACCAACTTTCACAATACAATTTTTCGACCATTACACCCATGACAAAGGGGGTCACGACTGTTAAAGATGAACTGTGGCAGGGGAACACGGCAATTGATTTAAATTCTTCAAATAAAGCACGCAAAAAAAATAATAATTTAATTTCATACAATCTCAAACTTCACTTTGGTTACCATATTTTTCAAAATAATTAACATTGCTGTTAAGTATTTTTTGGTGAGAGAACATCAAAAAGTGCATTTTCCATTAAAATGTGTAGCCCTCTATAGCACAAATTTGACACTAATATTGGAAAATGCGTCTTGTCATGTCTTTACGATTGTATGTCTTTGCCACGGCTTTTTTGCTGCATTTATACGTTTATTTACAATTTTAAGTATTAAATCAAAAAAATATAATTAAAATATATATTAAACAATATAATTAATATTATTTTGTATCAAATAAATTAATTTAATAAACCACTATGCCAACTTGGAATCAAATACAATCACAATTAAGAAATCCCAATAACCCAGTGGTTTTCTTTGATGTCTCGGTGGGAACAACGGTTGGTATTTGGCTTCCATACCCACAAAATTCCCCATAATAATTAGATTTTTTTCTATGCAGGAAATTGGCCGCATGATATTTGAATTATTTGCCGATACCGTACCCAAAACCGCAGAGAATTTTCGACAATTCTGTACGGGAGAATATCAACCGGATGGTGTGCCACTGGGCTATAAGGGAGCCAGTTTTCATCGTGTCATCAAAGATTTTATGATACAGGGTGGGGATTTTGTGCATGTAAGTTATGAAACTAATAAAATTTATAAAAAAAATAGTAATCCATAATTTCTTTCCTTGTAGGGTGATGGCACCGGCGTTATGAGCATTTATGGCAACACATTTTCCGATGAAAATTTCACGCTGAAACATGATAGTCCCGGCCTGCTATCAATGGCCAACAGTGGCAAAGATACAAATGGTTGTCAATTTTTCATTACATGTGCAAAATGTAATTTCCTCGATGGCAAACATGTTGTATTCGGACGTGTCTTGGATGGCCTGTTGATAATGCGTAAAATTGAAAATGTACCAACAGGGCCGAATAATAAACCCAAGTTGCCAGTTATTATATCACAATGTGGACAAATGTAAAAGGTAGTTTTGTATATACATAGATTTTTTAATGACTTAAATAAATTGTAAAGGTTTGATTTTTGTATTGAAAACAAGCCTATTAATGGGTGGGTTTAAAATTAGGGGTATAAAGGGGAATTTTACAATAAGTTTTTGGCAGGAAGTCTTTCCTAGACAATCTTAAAGGAGTATTTGCTAGACGAATTTAAGGGAGTCTTTGTTGGCCAGTGGAAGGGAGTCTTTCATAGGCGAGCGGAAGGGAGTTTTTGTTGACTAGCTGAAGGAAGTTATCTTTGGAGGAGCTGACAGGAGTCTTCTTTAGACGAGTTGAAGGGAGTCTTCTTTGGACGAGTTGAAGGGAGTCTTTCATAGACGAGCTGAGGGAGTCTTTCATTGACGAGCTGAAGGGAGTCTTTCATAGAGGAGCTGAAGGGAGTCTTTCATAGACGAGCTGAAGGGAATCTTTCATAGACGACAATGGAACACCACAAAGTTCTCTAAACATTGTACTTTGCTCTGAGTTTTTTAGAGATGATATAATACCTATGGGTCTTCTTTAGACAATAGAAGACCTCTAGGTCTTTTATTAAAAAACCCTCTAGGTCTTTTATTAAAAAAAAACCTCTGGGCTTTACATCCCAGGATCTCAGTTTTATATAAGTGGAAACTGATAAAAAATAAAACAAAATATTTGAAATGAAATAAGAAAAAATCTTTAATTATATATTTGGTACTAAATTATAACAAAATCAAATAATAATTATATATTCTTTATATAAAATACAACAAAATTATATACAGTCATACAATAAAGAATAAAACTAAAAGTTGCTATTAAAACAAAAATGTTAGTTACTACTTTTATTGGTCTTTCGTCATGGCATGCCAGCAGTAACTATTTTGTCTTTCATTGGCTATTATTTTTTTGTTTGTGGTCTGCAGAAAATTTGCGTTCAGAATGCATGAATCAGTTGTAAAGTATGTATTCACTAATAATCTCCTATGGCAAATATATTAAAAAACAATATAACATATCAGAATGTTAAAAATATTGTGCAAAGCAAAGACTTGTCAAATCTCAGGTACACACATAAATATTATTGATTTAATTGGAAAAATGAAGTAATAAAACACTTTATTATTGACTAGTATTTACTCTGTTTTTGTAAGCTATTTTTTGGTATGAATATGTTTGTTCCTATTTGTTATAGTATTTGTTTTCATTCAATTCAAATCTCTTTATCAAAACCAACTAATTCATAGTACTTTTCCGTACGCAAAAGTCTACAATCATCAATGGCAAAACTATACAATGGATTCATTATGAATACCGTAGATAAATGCCATAAAGCATGGGCATCTAATATCCACAATATGGGCGGGAAATCTAATAGCTCTAGACTCATACTCATGCCCAAGAGTAAATAGAAGGCTAAGATTTTACGATAATATGGTCGTTGTTTACGCACCCGAAATGACCAAAGGAACCAGCCCATAGCGCTTAAGATGCCTGCAAAAAGAAACTTTGTTTATATTATATTTTAAGAATAAAATTTGAATACCCTACCTGTCACAACATTTGTTGTCATATTCAAGGAATAACTAAATCGTCCCATTGTTATATAGGCAAAATAATTTATATAATAGGATAAAAATGCCAAGGAGATAAAAGCCTTTATTAGCCAGGAATGTTTGTACAGCATTCTGAAAAAATAGAAAAACAATTTGTTTTTTAATTTATAAATTTAAAATTAAAAAACAAAAAATGTATCTCACCTCATTACCATACAGTATAGAGTCATTAGAACCATGGAATAGGCAAATGAGTAGTCCAGCAACTCCGTAAGAGGATTGTCCCGTGCATGAAAAACAATCGACCATATCCAGGCATTGATGGCTACCTATAAAAGTATAAACATACATTTTCTAATTAAAAATAAATTACTAAAAAATTATAATGCTCGAGTATTTCCCCTCTGTGAACCTAGATGTATTATATTTTTTGACCTAGGGGGTCTTCTATTGCCCGTGGAAGACTTAGAGGACTTTGGCTGACTAAAGAAGGCCTAGAAGTTTTATATTTTCTATACAAAGGGGTAGGGGTATTTTATTGCCTATGTGAGATCTTGAGGCCTTCCACTGCCGAAGCAAGACCTAGGGGACTTCTATTGACTATAGGAGATCTAGAGGCATCCTATAATAAATAACAGAACTATGGAACAAGCCTATTCTATGAAGCATAACAAGCCTTTATTATTTTATATATAAAAAAACCTAGATTTTCTCTATATTGACCTATTTCCCCTCAACTCTTCTATGACAGACTACCTGCTTCATCTCTTCTATGAAGGACTACCTTCTTCAGCAGGAGTTCTTGAGTTCCGTTTTGAAAGACTCCCTTCAGCTCGTCTATGAAATACACCCCTCAGTTCGTCTATAAAAACTCCCTTCAGCTCGTGTATAAAGACGCCCTTCAGCTCCACTACAAAGGCTCCCTTCAGCTCTTCTATAAAAACTACCTAAGCTCGTATATAAGGACTTCCTCAGCTCGTCTATAAAATCGTCCCTTCAGCTCGTCTATAAAGACTCCCTTCACCACGTCTATAAAGACTCCTTCTTCCAGCTCGAGTCTGTAAAAATGTTTTTTTTCTCCCTGCTTCAACTCTTCTCTGAAATACTCCCTTCAAATTATACCGGATAGTTTTATTTCACTTCTCTCTTACCGCTGAAAACAAATGCCATATTTTATAGCATGGACTATCGGGTCGGACTTCACGGCGAAATTTTCGTAGCCAACGAAAATGTGCCACTAAATTGAAAAATGAAAATAGAACGGAGGCAGGTTCCTGCAGGCCCAGGAATCGGACAAATGGCCACTAAAATGGAAAAATAAAAAATGATTTTTGAATTATTTTTATTGGGAGCAACACTACTTACCTTTCCATAAAATTGTGGCACTGGCCAATTACGATCCTGGAATGCTTCCACTGTACGCCACATACAACCATACTGACACTCATCCAGGCAGGTCCATTGCAGCAATTTATCAAATAAACTCTGCTGATAGTATTTAACAGCCTGCTCCTGGATCTCCAGACCATCTGAAAAAATACAAAATCATATATTTTTTAATTATTAAATAAAAATAAAATTCCCAATGGAGCACCAACCTGCCGAACAGTTTTGCCTCTCACAGTTGCGTATACAATTATTGAAAAATGAAGTTCGATCGCCGTTTGAGCTTACAACTAATGTAAAATATAAACTAAATAAAAAACAGGTAATAAATAAATTATATCTTATTGTTAACATTATGTACTAATTTCACTTTAATGCTTTTGTTAGTAAATGCAGTTTTTCTAAAGTTTTAACTGATTAAACATATTTTCTATATATTCCTCGGCGCTGCGAAAATCGTTCCACCTGCAGACGAATGGGAGGACAAAACAAAATGGCCGATAAAGAAGAACTCAAAGTGATATAAGAAAAGTTTACGAATGATGTGGGAGAGAGACTAAATGGAAACCGTGTTTACAACACATGCACAGTTCACGAGGGAACTAGTCGCGTAGTAGAAATGGGCCTCAAAACGTAACTGATAAAACACAATCAAAACAAAAGACTATGTGAAAAGAGAAGAAAAAACGAAACGACCGTGTTCAACTGGACAATTCACTGAAATGTACCGAAATGAACTAGGTGAGAAAAAATCATTCGCTTTATTCGAGTCGTTTGGTGCAATGGGCCATCCAAAAATGCAGTTTAAAATAATAAATGCGACGTTAGCCAGGAAGGAGAGGAGTTAATAAGGAAAAAATAATAAATATATAACAATTAATAAATAAGATATTTTAACAATAAATGTAGATAGATATAGGCCTTGATTATAGTACGTTTACATTGTACCGGATTTCGTTAACCCAATGGGTTTCAATAGTCAATTTCATTGTATACATGCCAAAATAATCCCCCTTAAAAATTCTAATGTAAATTTCTTTTTAGATCTAAATAAAATATTGTTAAACAAATTTATTAAAAAATCCACATTTTTCTTTTTTTAATGTTAAAAATTACCGCTGTTCTAATTTTAATAAAAAATAGACGCTTTAAGTAGTTCTCCAAATGCACGAAAAATACCTCCGTTTCTGATAGCTCATAAAATAAATTCTTGATCAAGGCTTCTGATAAATCTTAAAATAAATACCTCTTGATTTCGTTAACCCAATGGGTTTCATTAGTCAATTTCATTGTATACATGCCAAAATAATCCCCGTTAAAAATTCTAATGTAAATTTCTTTTTAAATCTAAATAAAATATTGTTAAAGAAATTTATTAAAAATCCACATTTTTCTTTTTTTAAAAATTACCGCTGTTCTAATTTTAATAAAAAAATAGACGCTTTAAGTAGTTCTCCAAATCCACGAAAAAGACCTCCGTTTCTGATAGCTCATAAAATAAATTCTTGATCAAGGCTTCTGATCATGGTACAATTATAAAAGGTAACAGCAAATCCCAGCTGATTTGATTCCAACGTAATACTAGTGTCAATATGAATTTGACAAATTATGTTTTTAAAAATCACCCAACAGGAAAATTGGGAACGCATACAATTTGAAATTGTTCTTTATTAATGTGCTCCCGTATTCAATTTACTCAATCTGCCTGCTGGGAAAGTTTGAGGAAGCAAATCTTTCTTGAAGGAATAACTCGCTATTCCCAGCATTGCCATATGTGTTACCCATATATATGGCAATGGCTCAATTGAAGGATGTGGAAGCGATAGAAATATAAATTTGATAGATTTTCATTCATGTTTTTTCAATTTTTATTTTGGGGATTCGAAAATATTCCATTTTCAAAATAAAAATAATTTGATGATTTGTTTGTTTGTTTGTTTACATTTTTCTGTCAAATGAGTTGACACTAATAGAACTTACAACAACAAATTTCCATGTGGTTGTTGTATCGTTTTTTGTACAACAACACTTGCTGTTACCTTTTATTATTATACCATGGCTTC